TTTTTTGCATCGGTGGTGCAGGGCATGATGTCCTACAACTATGGCATGATGATGCCTCCGATGCAGGAAACCTAGAAGAGCCGGTTCTGAACACACTTTCTGCATTGGCAGCAAACATCATGTTTTGAGGATCAAATCTTCAGTGTCAGACTTCAATGTGTATATAATCTGTTTCGACATGCCTCTCATTCGCTTTTTGCAACGCCAAGGTTCGCTTTTAAGGGAAAGGGCAAGGGCAAAGGGAAGCGCAGCCCACAGCTGAACGTTGCCTTGACCTTGGTTTTTGTACAACAATTCAGCTTTCCGGCCACGGTTTCTGATTGTGAAATTTGCGGGTTGAATAAGTTGAATTCAGGAGGTACTAACCTCATTGCTCTATGCACTTCACATTTTGCAGTGACTCCTCAAGTATTTGAACTTGGACAGTTGTGACTTACCTCAAGAATTCTGAAGGGAATCCCTGAGGATCCAGCCAAGAAGCTTTGGATTGGAAACATTCCAGAGGAAGCAAACTGGAAGGATTTGCAGGCGTTGGTTGACAAGGCACAGTAGGGGGGAAGTGGTTGTGTTTCCGCTGGTGTCAATCACAAGTATCAGGTACCACTTACATATACTTACATGCACACATTCACACAAACACACTTTCACTTCTGCACCTGCTTTCTCAGCTGGAAGATGTGACGAACCGTCGTGGACCTATTGAAATTCCTTTTGAAAATAACCAATGCACAGAACAGATGTGGAAGAACCAGTGCACAGAGCACGCAATGTGGACGTGCTGTAGCCAGGCGGGAAAAAGCCGATGGGTGGAGATCTTCCGTGGCAAAGGCAAAGGTACGGGTGCTGTGGTGCTGGGGCCTTAGATAAGAACTTGGCTCAAAAATCTGATCAGCAAACTGTTTGGCACAATCATCCTTGTGATTTTTGTTGCTGCTTCTTGTCCCTGCTTATGTGTGAATTTGAGAAAATGCCGTCAAGTCAACTTGAACTCTGAGCATCTCTGAGCCAGATTGGCCTTTGTCAGACTTGCACCATCTGGCATCGTTTGTCAAACCAAGGTACAACACTGCAGACGAAGCGCAAGCTGCAAAGGCCACTTTGAATGGTGCGGACCTTTGCGGCTCATCCATCGTGGTTGATTCCTGGGAGAAAGGCCCGAAGCTGCATGGTCCAAGTGGTCCAAGTGGTCCAAGTGGTCCAAGTGGTCCAAGTGATGGTGACTTTGGACATCGCTACCAGTGTTTTTTCGCTGATGAACTCTGCAGGTGAGAAAGCTTGAGGCTGGGAATTGGTGGAGCCGTTCCCAGTCGACATGCAAAATGCCATGACATGAAAAGCAGACATCGCTGAGAAACATGTAGTGACATGTAGTGGTGAACTTAGAAAATTCTTTGCCTGGGACTCTAGTCGTTTCCGGTTTCGAGTGCTCCAGGCATCTACGTACAGTGAGATGGATACACGAAAGTGATTGACGAAAGACTCTCGAGAGTCTCTCACCTCGTCTTTGCAACAATGGCTGAGAAAAGAATGGAACTATATATATATAGCAGAAAGATGCAGAAAGTATGAAATGACCTGGAATGCGAATTGGACCAATGTTGCAAGACCCAAACCTGAATTCCGTATTCAGGTTACTGTGCTGTGCCTTACTGCCCTGTTCTGAGTAGAGTGAATGCCCTGCATCGATCCCCAACGTAATGAATATGAATTTACAAAAGTAGCATACAATTCTACAAATGCATACAATTCCAATCAATTCCACTATCATCACTATCTAACTTTTCAATGGCGTTGGGTAGCCCAAAGTGATGCTGCATACACTTGCTCCGTAGTTTTCGTTCACGAGTCAATGCAGAGTTGCAACAGTGCCTTGATGCTGTGAACATGATCAACAGACCAGCTGGATGAAAAAAAGTTTAGTTTTCTCCTGGCAAGCTTGGAAAGCCTAGCACACCTGAAGCAATTTGTCCCTTTCAAAATGGCTTCCTTTGTTCAGTTACCTTGGAATTTCCGCAGTGTCGTGGGGCCGACGTTGCTTGAGGCTCAAAGGAGCTCGGATTCCTTCGAAGCCCAGACTCGCCTACTTGGCCTACTTGGCCCACTTAAGCACTTGTGGGTTTTAACGCCGTACCTTGGCAGAACTCTGAATTAAGCATATTAAGCGTGCTGTTCTTACTAAGAATGTAAGAACTTAGATTCTGATGGACAACTCTGGACTGTGGAGGATGAAGGACTGATGAAGGATGAGTGTTTTCTGTCCTGTTCAGTCCAGAGCAGAGGTGTTCTCTTCTTGATCGCTAGATGTCTCTGGCTGCCTAGCAATCGTGAGTGAAATGTCAGGCAATGTACAGCAAGGGCTATGGCGGCGGCTGGGGTGGCAAAGGAGGACCGCGGCAAGAGAGCAAAGGATCTCACATTACAGACATTACAGATCTTAAATCTCAATCAAATCCTGTTGTAAACAATCACACTAGTGTAATATCTTGGCTTGGGAAAGGATGGTGGATATCAATCAAAGGGCTTGGCTTCTATGAGCTAGGAGTGATAAAACTTATTGAACGCTTTTGTTGAGACTAAACCTACGTATTCCCCTCTACGATGGATGACATCCTCCGTTTGGAGCTTGGAGCCAAACAGGTTGGAATGGCAAGGGCTTCTCCTATGGCTTTTATCCGGGCTTTGCGCCATGGGATGGTGGCAAGGCTGGAAACACAGCACAGAAAGTCTCATAAGGCTCCGGAAATACTGGATTTCTGGGGAGGATCTTTATTCCAACAGGTGAGCTGACCAGTATGCTACAGAACCTTCAAAGATGAAGCTTCATTTTCTGATCAGACAGCTTACTGATACCCATGCTTACCCATGCTTACCCATGCTACATTTATTTGGCTGGCAACAGGGCATGATGATGTTTGGTGGAATGCCGCCCATGCCCCTTGTCTGCATTCTATTTCTTTAGCAGGTAATTGAGGCACACTTGCGGATGTTGAAATCATCAGATGTCCAGCTGAACAAACGTGTGACTTAGTATCAGGGACCACAGCATGTCAACACCTAAGGTTTCCATTTAAAGGGAAGGGCAAAGGTAAAGGCAAGCGAAGCCCGCAGCTTCGCGTTGTGCGGATGCCAAGATGCAACTGACTTTCTTGCTGCAAAGCTCCTGGATGGAACTTTTTTGTTTGGATGATCTATATAACAGCCAAATCTTTTCGTAGCTATGACTTCTGTATCGAATATCTTGCGGTGAAGAAGCACAGAGGAGTGAAATCCAAGCCACAAATTTGCTGGCTTCCGCAGCCCTCCAGTCACAGCAGTTTGCTGTTGATGCGGTTGAGATCTGTTGAGGACCCATCCAGAAAGTTATGGATTGGCAACATCCCCGAGCAGGCCAAATGGAAGGACCTCCAAGCCCTTGTTGACCAGGCCGCCCTTGGGTCTGGCAATGTCTGGCATGGGCGTTAGGGTGGATGAGCCGGGCACCAATTCTTGATGTATCTTGATGTATCTTGATGTACAAGTCGCATACAAGTAAGGCCACCTGAAATCACAAACGGGGATCGCATAGATTCAGAGGTTTCAGTTCTTAGCGTGTTGCCGTTTCAGTTCTTGTGCCTTTCTGGCAACTCGGTCTAGTTTGTGAAACTTATTGCTTCCTCTCCGCGTGGTTTCTTCGACCCTTTGTGGCTTCCTCTCATAGTTTTCTATCCTGGTCGATCCTCATTATTTTCACAGTTCATCGTTCATTAGGTTCCCTTCCAGTGGCAGTATGCCATGATATGCCCATCTGGCGGTTTTTAACAGGCTGGAGGAAAGAGCAAATGGGTCGAGATCTTCCGTGGCAAGGGCAAGGGTACAGCTGCTGTAGTGTGACCAGTAGGATCAGACAGGTCGGCGATCTTAAAGGTACAATGTGTTCAAACATTTGGCATGTGTGCGACTTTTTTCCCCTGAAGCTACACAAACCGAAATAGCTGTGTTCAAGCATGTTCAAACGCTCTGGGACTTACCTTGCTGCGACTTAACCGAATACACCGGCCATGAATGAGCAGAATATTATAAGATTAATGTTGCTTTCTTCAAAGATGCAACTTGGGTTGCAGGTTGCTGAGATGAAGATGATGAAATACGGGTTACAATATGTTACAACTTGGGTTGTATTGGTCACGCGAGGTACGCCACGGCTGAAGAGGCTTCTGCTGCGAAATCCACGCTGAACGGTGCAGACCTCTGCGGTTCCTCCATCGTGGTAGACTCTTGGGAGAAGGGTCGACAGGACGGGGCTGTGGGATGCTCTCGGTCGGCTGTTCCTTTTGATCCCGGGTGTACTTTTGCCATTCCTTGCCACTTTTGGTGCTATGGAGTTGGGTAGTTTTGGCAGGTTGAAGCTTTGCAGACTTTGCACTGCGGATCAATATTACAGATTCACAGTGCCAGCGCATTGCGCGAGTCCTTTTGTAAGCTTGAGATGACAGTGCATCAGTGGCATTCGATGCTGCAGGACTGAAGAATCTGCCCACGCCCAGGTCAGCCCTGTGCAGCTTGACAGGAACCACTTTTACTAAGTATTTTAAGGCTGGCTTCCAGAATTTGAGGCTGGGAAAGTTACCAGGAAGTCATTTTTATGATAGCTCAATAGCACAAGCTGGCAATGTTGAATTTGCTTTTTCTTGGCAGCCTGTGTCACGTCTGAAGCCAGCTGAAGAAAGAATCAAGAAGCAATAATCTTTGGGCTTCGTTCAGAAGATCCCACCTCCCTTCTCCAAACCAGAGGGGGGACTGTAAATATCAAAATATCTTCAGCTTTGTTCAGCAGCTGAGAATTATCGAAGGCGTTTCAGCCACACTCCTGATGTGTAGTTAAGCGAGCTCAAGCAAAGATGATGACAGCTGAATTTCAATTCGATGCTCTCTTTGTGCTTGTTGGGCTTTGTATCAGGGAACACTGCGCGAAGCGGGATAGACATTGCTGAGCGTAAACTTATGTTTTCAGTAGTTTTGAAGTATTGCAGTATTACACCAAAACCTTCTAAAACCTTCAACCGTGTCCAGATGACCCGTGAAAAGCACAAAGAGAGCCGAGAAAGGGTCTGGTGCCATTTTGGGCTCTGTCCGAGATACTTTCAATCGAGACGTCGCGCGACAAATGCAAGCATCTTTATTGCAAATGGTTATGCAAGTTGTGTTCGACCCCTGTCTCTAGAATTGGCAGAACCAACCTCAACCTGCTGTTCCATGTGCTTTTGACGGTACTTGCAGTCAAAGCCTTTTTCCCACGGACTTGCTGTCTTTGCCAGATCTTTGGATTCCTGCTACAGTGTTGCTGTGTGCACACTAAACAGGCGACCAATAGCCCACTCACACAAATGCAGGCTAATGCAGGGGCAGTGTTGCATTGAAGGCAACATAAATTCTTTACTTGGAAAGCTTAGCGCACTGCCAGCAATTCTCAGCATGCTGAATATGGAACCTAGTTCGCTTGAGCTTCTCTGGGCCTCCTTCTGCTCCCCATTCCATGGCCTCACTGTCGTGCCATGCAGCTTGTTGCTGTTGGCGCCTCAACTCCTCAGCTATTGAGAACTTTGGCACCAAGGTGAGGGTATCCAGGGTATCCTGTCTAACATCAGACGGGTTGAACTCGTTATAACTCGTTGGCTCCCTGACTGAGCTTTTTGTGCAACTTTGATGTATGGCTTTGATGTATGGTTTGTCACAGGGGCTGTTCGTCTCATCGACAGCATTGCCAGCGAAATAGCCATGCAGCTTCGGTGCTTGCAATTGGCGCATGTGTCTCCGCAGCTTGTAGGGAACAGAGGCAGGGCTGATTTTAGGGTTGCCCAAATGGAGTTCTTGAAGTTTAGGATCTATTCATGGCTGAAGGTGAGGATTTGCAGGTTGTCTTTCTTGAGTTCGCAGTCTGGAAGAGTGGCCCCAGGCTGCGTTTGCAAAAGCGGAATGCAGTGGAAGACTGGCCAGCAGGCGATGTTTAACGTGGTAGTGTGCACATGTTCAAACACAGAGTTTGCATTGTTTCGGCGGTTTATTTTGACAAATGTTGACTTTGTTTTGGAAAGGTATGATTTTGGCTCAGATTGAACTATACAGTTTCATATCTCCTGAAAAGGTCAACTCTAAACTCATATCTTATCCTGACCCCCTTTTGCCATGCTTATGCACCAGGTGCAGGTGCATCTGTCGAAGATTGTGGCATGGTGTCCATGCAGGGCGCTGATCCGGATCGCCCGAAGGTGAATCAGGCAGGGAAAGACTCTCAATCTTCAGCAGTTTCTCACACCTCACCGGTTCACGGAGGACTCGGAATACTTGGAGCATTTTCCCCACCTGCCGGGTGAGGGTCTCTAGATTTTATCAGAGTTGCTTCAGCCTCCTCCTTCTCCTTATTCTCCTTCTTCTCCTCCGGCAGCCCCCTCAACTGCGAGCGCCAGATCTCAGTGGGCACTGCCGGACCTCAGCCAGACGCTAGAGGGAACGTCAGAGAGAATGCCAGAAAGAATGTCAGAATGAATGCCTGAAAAGATGCCAGATAGAATGTCATAATGGATGCCGGATAGAATGCCAGAAAGACTGTAGAAAGTATGTCAGAATAGATGCCAGATAGAATGTCAAAGTAAATGCCAGAAAGAACGTCAAATAGAATCTCAGAATAAAATAGAATAAATATATATATATATATGCCATATGTATATATATATACTTCCAGTCCGAATAGTGTGTCGGGGTGGGGATCACCCAAAGAAAGTAATTATACAAAATCAAGCTGCAGCTGGTATTCATGGTATTCATTCTTCTATTACGCGTAAAGTATATGGCAATCTGCGTAGGACCAAATTCAGACTGAACCCCAAAGTCGAGATGATTTACAGCCACTCAAAATGTTCACCGTGTGTTGATTGCTGCAGAAAGCATTGTTCTCTAGGATGCCTGCTACGTGGCGGAGCTGCCAAATGGAAGTTTGCAGGTGCTCCTGAAGCTTCAAAAAAAAAATCACTCAAAAGCAGTGCATTGAATCAACCTCAACCCTTAACCTTTTCGTTTTGGAGGCTGTGGTCTTGGATGGCCATGGAAAGAAGGGCCATGTGGTTTCTGGGGCCCTCAAGGTTGGAAGCCAATCACTATACATTGATCAGTTGCATTTGCTGCAGTCACTGCAGTCATTGATTTGGGGATCAAGTTTGGATCTGATTCTTTGTTGGATCATGTTGGATCCGCCTCCGGAGGCATTCTTGCCGGACCTCATTGAAGAGCAGTTGGCCCAGTTGGCCAACGCGTGCTCTGGCGACATTGGCAGTGCCCTGTGCGAGGCTTTTAGAGCTACCGATTCTGTGCTGCGGCAGAACAGAGTCGGTCAAGTTGCGAGAGCATCAGGAGACACCCGAATCGAAGAATTCGGGAAATAGGCTACATTGAAGGGTGGCTGAATTCCAACCTACGGATTCCCGTGCCGTTTGAAACCATGTCTTGCTAAGTCCATAAATTCTTATTGCACATTAGGAGCAGCTGCGCTGGCTGCAATTGTTGAAAGAGGTTGTGGCCTCAGAATTCGTTCTCTGTAGATACAGCAATTGACATAGTTTATGTTTGTTTCCCTGGCACGATGCACGTGCGAACAAACTTATCTTTTAAGGGTGTCAGTGTCTGATTGAATGATTGACACACACACACACATAGCAATGAAATGCTATGAAATGCTACGCAATGATTTGCTTCAAAAGAGGGCTCAGTCTCAGTCATTTCTACAAAGGCAACAAATGGACTGTGCACGTTGCTTGCGCTGGGGACTGTCATTCCTGGCTGCTGGAGAAAGTGGAAGGAAGGCCAGGTGATTGCGACTGGGACCTCCAAGAGCACAATCGAGAGAGTCGAGTGACAGCTGCAACATATGTCGTTTTGCCACTTGGCAACAGCAGTTTTCAGGTGGCTTGGCAGTTCAATCTCCCAGCCAAGCAGTTGCCAACGCGAGAGGGAGCGGTTGGAGGCTGGCAGCTGGTCTACGGCATTGCCACTGAGCTGGGCTGCTTTTTCCACACTCAATCGCACTCAAAGCTGAACAACCGGCAGCTCTGTTGGAAGCCAACACCGTTGTGGCAAACGTGGCAAATTGATGCAAATTGATGCAAATTGTATGTATGTAGAATATCATATATGATATAGTGATATAATGATACATATATATATACATATACATTATACATACATATGTTATGAGTCCGGACTCCGGATCCCTGGCCCCCCCCCCAATGGTATGGTCCCCCAAGCTCACGCTCTCGGGAACACGGGACACGGTACCATACATACATACATGCATGCATGCATCCATCCATCCATCCATCCGGATGCATCCATCCATCCATCCATCCATCCATCCATCCATACATACCTACCAACATACATACATACCAACATACATACATACCAACATACATACATACATACCAACATACATACATACCAACATACATACATACCAACATACATACATACCAACATACATACATACCAACATACATACATACCAACATACATACCAACATGTTAATATGCAACATTGTGGATAGCCAACATACCAACGTTGGCACTGGGCTCAACTCAGGGCCCTTGGGCTGGACAACAGGTCCAGAGACAACAGCACAGTTCAACAAAAGATTGCTTCGACAGTGCGCGGCCTCAGCAACACTTTCAACAGAAGCTGCCATTTTTACATGGTAGCGGAGCTCTGCCTCACTAGGGCATCTCCAAGCGACAGCAGCAACACACACCCACAACACTGAGAGAGAGCTCAACAGGAGACTCTCGACGAGCGAGCTGGCACTGAACAACACCCACAGACCAGGTACACACCAAGCCCCGACAAACAGAAGCAATGGCAGCGTCTCCACAAGCTGCAGCAGCAGCTGACCCAACAGATGGCATCACACAGACACATAAGCTCAAGCTCAGACCACCAACATTCGACGGCAACTACAACACCTTTGAAGAATGGTCCTACAAGTTCACAGCCTACATGGGTCTACATGATCCATTCTACCCACGCATGTTCAGATTGGCTGAACAAGCACCACAACAAGTCACTGAACAACACCTCAGAGCTGCAGCCCCAACAGTTGATGAAGCAGAAACATGGATACAACTGGATAACAACCTGAAGTATGTGCTGATCAACATCACTACAGGATCAGCAGCAACAGTTTGTCGACAACATCAGCACGAAATAGGACTAGAAATCCTGAGACAATTGCACATCAGGTTTGCCTTGCCCATAGGAACAAGAAGCATCGGTTACTTAACCAAAATCATGAAGCCAACCTTCGACCACAACAACTTCGAGGAATCATTCTCCAGTTGGGAGTTTGATGTCAACCGGTATGAAAGGGACAACAACACACAACTACCAGACCAAATCAAAATTGCCATCCTGCTCAACGAGACCAAAGGCCCACTACAACAACACCTGCAACTCAACGCCAGTACAGCACCAACGTACAATGATGTCAGACTTGTCATCATGGAGTACTACAGAGCAACCACAGCTTTCAACAGACTACAACAAACGGCTTCAAGCAGTGTAGCAACAAACTTTGGAGGAGGTGCAGCCCCAATGGACATTGGTGCCATCAACAAAGGCAAAGGAAAGTGGAAAGGAAAAGGCAAAAGCAAAGGAAAGAAAGGAAACAAAGGAAAGACTAGTCACAAAGGAAAAGGAAAAGGCTACGGGCAACAATACAAAGGAAAAGGGCACATAGGTTACGCACCAGTGCCATACAACCCATTCACCGGCAAAGGATACAACACAGGAAAAGGAAAAGGAAAAGCAACGGGCAACGGCAAAGGCAAAGGAAAAGCACCAACACAAGGGTGCTACAAGTGTGGCCAGCCAGGCCACATCGCAAAGGACTGCAGAGTGGCAGTCTACAACCTACAAGAGGTTGACAACAACGAATGGAATCAAGATGCCACTACCTATTGGTATGGGCATCAGTCCACCTTTGACAGCAATTGGTGGACAGACGATCAAACACAAGTGCAGGCTGTTCAACGGCAACAGCAGCAGCTGGCACTTCCACCGCCGCAACAGGCAGACCCAACCACAACAATCCACATAGGAGCCATCAATGCCCCTAGCAGCAATCACCAACAAGGCATATCAACTACAGGCAAACCCGCCACCTCACACACACAACCCGGCGTCAGTCTCAACAACGAGTTGATGATTGACAGTGGAGCGGCAACACACGTTTGCCCACCTTGGTTTGCAGCGTCCACACCAACATACCCGCTGCATCCCCAGGAGACACCAAATCTCCGAACAGCAACAGAGGACAAGATTGACGTCACCGGGTACAAATGGGTCTACATGACCAACACAAGCAATCAACCTATTGTCATCCCATTCTACGTGTGTTCAGTCACACAACCCATCCTGTCAGTAACAAGACTGGCAGAACAAGGATTCACAGTCCAACTCAGTGAACAACCAACAGTGTCACACCCAAACGGTTTTGGAGCAAAACTCAACATCAGAGAAGGAACATACTTCCTACCAGTGAAGACCACAGGTGTTCCAGACAACTATAAACTTGACGTGCACGAGGCCCAAGAAGGAATCAAGGCAACAATCTCACCAATCACCCTGACACCAGCAGGAGCACAATGGGTGACACACCAACACGACATTTGGACTTACAACAGTCAAGGCTACTTGGTAAGAGTACATAAAACCAAAAGGAGAGCAACCTACATGCCAGACCAGACTTGCCCAGTCCCCACGAACAAACTCGAAGACTACAGACGAACAATTGCCCACAAGGACACCGGAACAACAGAAGACTTCGAAGAAGCACTACACAATCTCGACCACTCTCAACGGAAAAAGATGCTGGACACAGCGTGGAAAGGAGAAACATGGTTCAAGGTGAAGGCAAACGCAAAGCCACCACGTCCAGCGATCACAACACCAGCAACGACGACCAAGCACCAACCGGAAGCAAGTCAGCAGACACCACAGGCAGTGACACAACAGCCAGCAAGAAGACATACTGGCAAGCAGCCAGAAAGACAGCAAGGACAAGCACCAAGCAGCGTACAGCAGCCCTACTCAGCCACAGCAGTACCCACACCGAAAGACACACCGACAACATCAGACTACTGGATACGCGAAGGACATTTGTGGAAAAGAGTCCACGTCCATCCAAGAACAGACCTCTACATACCACAACAGACCCAGGATGGACCAGATGTCACCAAGCTCATCCCAGAGCGAACAACAATGGTGAAGCCAACATCTGGAGCAAGAGGCTACAGGATTGATGATGATTGGACAACAAAGACAAACGCCTTTCTCAACACTCCGTGGACAGGATCAACTAACTTTGAAGAAAGCACGCTCTACAAGGAAGAGGTGTATGACATGGATGAAGAAGAGCCACAACAAGCAAACACAGCAAAAGGATTGCCTCAGCCAACGCAGCCAACAGCACAAGAAAGAGCAGAGCACGAACTGACGCACCTTCCTTACCGTAGTTGGTGTCCAACATGTGTCGCCAACAAAGGAAGGGCCGACAATCACCCAAGACAAAGCAGCAAACTACCAGTCGTACAGTTCGACTTTTGCTACTTCAAGACAGCAGGTGAACAAAGCACAACACCAATCCTTACAGGGATTGACGTGGAAACAGGTATGACAATGGCAACAGTGGTCGGTGACAAACAGGGAGACTTCCAATACCACGTCCGATGCATACAAGCATTCCTGATGGAATGTGGCAGAGTACAGGCAGTACTCAACACCACAATTCTGCAATCCGACCAAGAAGATCACCTGATTGCATTGCTGAAGACAGTAGCAGCCAAGATGGGCGGCAACATCACTGTCCGACAAGCACCAACCTACACCGCACAAGCACAAGGCAGTGTCGAAAGGTTCCACCGAACACTGATGGGACAATTCAGGACACTCAAGGCACAACTCCAACACAACTACGACCGAACGATCACAAGCAAGCACCCCATCGTGCCATGGTTGGTACGGCATACAGCGTACCTACTCAACAGGTATGCGGTACACGCGGATGGCAACACCAGCTATTTCCGCAGGTGGCACAAAGACCACCGACACCCCTTGTGTGAGTTCGGTGAAACAGTTCAATACCTACTACCAACCAGCAAGCAACTACCAAAAATGGAACAACGCTTCTTTCCAGCAATTTGGTTAGGACGAGACACCACAACGGGAGAAACCCTCCTGGGCATCGCCAACAAAGTTATTCGAGCAAGAACAATTCGTAGAATGCCACGTCCAGAGAAGTACAACAAGCAGCTCTTCGACGTGATCAGCAGAACAGACACTCAACAGCTACCAATAGCAGGACAAGCACCCCTGAACCAACCCATGGTCTTCCATCCTCCGAGAAGATCAACAACAACTACCGAGACGCAGACCTTGGAAGAGCAATCGACAGCAACAGCAGCACAACCCGCAGCGCGCGGAGATCTACGACTTCCGTCGCAAGCAGCACAAACAGGCACCAACACAGCAAGGACGACAACGCCAGCGATCGCAGACGCACCACTCGCAACTTCGCCAACCAGCTGTCACAGCCGACAGGCCATGCCAACACCACCGCCAAAGCGAACTGTCGCTGAAGGCAGTCAAGCAAAGCAACAGCGGACAACCACACAAACAACAGCACCAGCACGTCCGGAAGCAACTCCGGAACAACCAAAGAGCAAATTGAGAATCACCAAGGTCACAATGACTACAAAACAAGGGACTGAGATCACAGCATACTCCTGTGAAGACGTGACGGAACAAGAGACAGAAAAGATCCTGATAGAACCCTGGGTCAACAACACCGAAGGACTGGACAAAGCCAAAACAATTGAAGGAATGAAGAACGAGATCCAATCGATGAAGTCACAACAAGTCTACATGGAGGTACACCTCGATTCCCTTACTCCCCAGCAACGACAAAACATCAT